AGGAGATCAATTATAGAGTTTTGCTTATGAAAGATTAGAGAGAAAATAATACTATCTCGCCACAATCAAATCAAATGAATCCCTATTTTTTAACGGCCAATTTTAAAATTATGAAAATTAACACTAATTAAGAAATCAACATATAGAAATTAATATTAACTTTGTAAATTAATATATATTAACTTGTTCAAATATAACTTTGTAAAGGTCTGAGTCAAAACTTTCCTATAACTTTGAATACTAATTTTAAATATATAATGGGAAGTAATACCATATATATTCATGATACATTTGGAAGATTTGAAATTAACTTGATGGAATGTAATTTTGTAAACATTTGAGTCAAAAGTTTCTTATAATAATTCTTCGAATACTAATTTGTGAATATATAACGGGAAGTAATGCCATATAGATCGTTATAAATTGTGCTGATTTGAAATATTGGGAAAATATTATTGATCGGCGTTGAAAGATTGCGATCAAGCATACACGTTGTAAACGTTTTCTGTATTCGGATTTTATCTAATAACAACGAAATGTGTTATCACTACATATAAAATCTCACACATCACTCAATATAAAAACTCATACATCAATATTAAATTTATAGAATGAAGAGAATCCAATAAAAAATAACAAATAAAAAATTGTATACAATGGGATATTGACTTCAATACAATAGATATTGATTAGGTTGCAAAAAAAAAATTACCAAGAAAGAATGAAAAAAATGTAATTGTGAAAGCAATAAATATATTTTAAATATCATGTGAAAATAAAAGATATACACATAAACCATAGGAACCAATTACACTATTTACTAATATAAAATAAATGACCAATGACACTATATGTAATTCGTCTAGGCTAAGAAGAGTTATTTAGTAAATGCTATGAGGAAGGATCTCATGATGATACATAAATAATGGCAATCTTGATAATAACACATGAAGTAAATGTTTATTTTTTAAAATGCTCCTCAAATAATAATAAAGGGATAATAAACACACAATAAACAATTTAGAAACGATCATGAGTACATCAGACCATAAGATACTAAAGATTTTGTTATTGTTAATTGAATTATTAGGACAAAGGTTAAAATGTGTGTTTTGGTTGATCATGGCTGAATGTTTCATTTTTTGGTAAATGAATATCAGAATAAGGATATATATAGTTGATCATATATAACCATTTTTTTGTTGTTATTGTTGGTCTTTTAGTTTTTTTTTTTTTAGAAAGACTGTTGTTGCTGGTCACTGATGCAATGTTCATCAAACTGATTTATTTTTTGGATCGACGATATATTTCTCCACAAGAAGTATTATATAGCACTAAATGTCCACATAATTATGATCCGTTCTATTTATCCCCGAGAATAAAGTCCACAACCTATTTTCTCACAAGATTTGGTTTAGTTATGATTTCTGAAAACCGAATTTCAAATGTACACTCTCATATAATAAAACCAAGCAAAACTAAACCAAGACAAAATTAAAAACCCGACCAAAACTTGATCTAGATTAGAACAGTAACCCGATCCAACATTCGAACTTAAAAATATCTAACTGATTGAATCTTAATCCGATAAGTCATTAGTTTAACATGATCTATGGTTTGTTTATAAACAATAAACTAACAAAAAAATGATTTTGTGGGTTTTTAGATTTCAATCTTTATAATTGTGTGGAAATATCGATATAACTTTAATTTAGTGGGAAAAAATGCTGCAAACTTTATTCTCATGGGTAAATAAAATAGTCATAGTTCCGTGGACATTTGATGATATACGATACTTCTCATGGAAAAATAGATCGTCGACTCTTATTTTTTCTACAAAAGTTATTTTATATAGCTTTTACACCGCACATATTTACAACTAATAAAATTAGAATCTGAGAAACACGATTTACACGTGTAAACAAACAGTACACAAAGAAAGCAAGATAGAAATCACATAGTTATATCATCCCTCTATGTGATGATTCTTAAAGTAATATCTTAAGTTTAAGAGATCCTACTCATAAATGTAAATCTTATCCTAAATACTATACTAAAATTTAATAATCATCACCCACCGTCCGTTTAATTTCTAATGGAACTCACTAAACTCCACGATCCAGATCTTCTTACTTACGTGCACCTCACCCCACCTGAATAATTACCCTCCGTCTATAAAAACGCTAAAACAAACCTACCGATTCTCACCTTCTCTCCACACACACACCCATCCCGTGTCCCCTTTCCGTTTCAACCGTCTCCGAACCGATCAAGATCCAATTTTAGGGTTTTTTCTCCCTTCACACAAAACCATGTCAGACGCCTACTGCACCGATTGCAAGAGAGAGACGGAGCTCGTCTTCGACCACTCCGCGGGAGACACCCTCTGCTCCGAGTGCGGCTTGGTTTTGGAATCTCACTCCATCGATGAGACATCCGAGTGGCGTACCTTCGCTAACGAGTCCTCCAACAGCGATCCTAACCGTGTCGGTGGTCCCACCAACCCGCTTTTAGCGGATAGTGCTCTCACCACGGTTATCGCGAAGACGAATGGTTCTTCCGGGGATTTTTTGTCGAATTCGCTCGGGAGGTGGCAGAATCGGAATGGTAGTGCGGAGCGTGGGTTGATCCAGGCTTTTAAAACCATTGCTACCATGTCTGAGAGGTATCTCTCTGGATTTGATTGGTTCGCGCAATTTTTCGTGTTGGTTTTTGAGATTGGATCGGGTCGGATCCGGTGTTGTATGTCATTACTTTAGTGGTTAATATGTATATATTATGTCTGTATGGATCGTATAAATTTGGTCAACAATTGTTTTAACTCTGTGTTTGTTTTTGTTTATTTTAAGGTTCATGCCTTTTTGGAAGTTTGAGGTTTTTGTCATTGGTGATCTTACTGCTGTTAGGTGTAGAATGTTTGTTTATATTTCTGTATTCATGTTTTGCTGTGTGTGTGTGTGTACATTGTGATTTGTGAGGGAGTACTCACGTGTAAATTTTTTGTTTTCGTTTCCAGGTTGGCCCTTGTTAGATTGTGTGTTTTGTTTACTTTAACCTTTTTTTGAGATAGTTGTACTTGGTGATGTTGTTGCTGTTAGGTGTAGAATGTTTGTGTATATTGCCGTATTTATGTTTTGTTGTTGTGTGTATATTGTGGTTTGTGTGTGAGAGTACTTATTGGGTTTTTTTTTTGATTTGTTTCCAGGTTGGCACTTGTTGGAACTATTAAGGTAAGCTGTTCTTTTAACTTAATAGCCTGTGGATATGTTACTAGAAGTTTATAACGCTGGTTCAGTATGTGATATTTGGAGCGTTTCATTTACGGGTTTGGTGTTATTTTTGGATGATGATATATAGGATCGGGCTAATGAGATATTTAAGAGGCTGGAGGATCAGAAGTCAACAAGGGGAAGAAACCAGGATGCACTCTTGGCAGCCTGCTTGTACATTTCTTGTAGACAAGAGGACAAGCCACGAACTATTAAGGGTAAAGATTTCTCTTTTGAGAGAGTCTGGTTCCCCCTCTTGATATTAAAAGCTTTGCCATCATTAGTCAATTCCAATTCCTCAACCTTGTGAAATTAGAAATCTGCTCTGTTGCTAACGGAGCGACAAAGAAGGAAATCGGACGAGCAAAAGACTTTATTGTTAAGACTTTGGGCCTGGAGACTGGCCACTCTGTCGAATTGGGCGCTATTCACGCGGGTGATTTCATGGTGAGTTTTGCACTTGAAGTCCCTACAAGTTTTGTACCTTTAACTTAGGGGTACTGTTAGTTTTTATTGGTGGCTTTGTATTGGATATTGCAGAAACGGTTCTGCTCTAACCTTGGGATGTCTCACCAAGCGGTTAGAGCTGCTGAGGAAGCTGTGAAAAAATCTGAGGAATTTGATATTAGGTACGTTTCATTTTATTATTCGCTGTTTCAGTATTTAGATAGAACCAGCAAAACCATTACTGATGTTTGATCTGACATCTTGCAGGAGGAGTCCTATATCAATAGCAGCAGTGGTTATCTATATCATAACCCAGCTTTCTGATGACAAGAAGCCTCTCAAAGGTTTGTTTGTTTTGGTCACATTTATCCGAACAGAGAATTCAGACTGATTAATATTTTGGGGGTTGTGGTGCAGATATAGCGGTAGCGACAGGAGTAGCAGAAGGGACAATAAGAAACTCATACAAAGACTTGTATCCTCATCTTCCAAAGATCATACCAAGTTGGTATGCTAAGGAAGAGGATCTTAAGAACCTCTCTAGTCCTTAAACTTCTTCTTTGCAATAGATACCTATCTTATTTATATCTCTATTGAGGAGGATACAAAGCAAGTGTTTCTCTTGAGTGAAGAGACTTTGGTTCTTTCTGAATATTCTTGTTTGGAATCCCTTTGTTAAAGATTCTTGACTTCTTGTGATGCTTTAACACCGTCTAAATGAAATATTTAAATATTCATACTAAGAAAGAAAGACGGAAGGGTTAATATATCCAATTTACAACATACATATTTTATGTCTGAATCGGGATTATGCTATGATATGACAAGGAATCCATGGGATGGGATGTTTGTAGTGAAATGCTGTGTGTGTTTTCAATGGTTGATAGGTTGTAGAAGATGCAGATACCTTTTCTAGCCCTGTGTTGGCCAGCAAGATTGAGGAAGCTGAGGAATATTCTTGTTCATCCTTTGTTATTGTCCTAGTGTTTGCTCTTACTATAAACCGAGAACAAATCTCCATTTGGTATAAGCGAAGAGAATGGTGGAGGTCCCACTTTGACGGTGAGAGCAAAGGCAAATGGCACAAACAAAGATGGAGAATACTGCTTCTGAACCTTTTACCATAGATTCTCTTTTAGAAATGTGTGATGGACCTTTGTTAAAGACGAGTTGAGCATAAACATGTGTACTGAGGCAAAGGATAAAGGCAGAGAGTGAGGCATTGTTCTAGGTCAGTCCTCAACAAGAAGAGACAGAAAGTCTTACAGCAGCAACAATAAAGGAATGAACACAAGCTTCATGAGAAACACTAAGCAGAAAGTAGGAGTTGAAGCTGGCAAGATTAGTATTGATCCAGTTAAAAGACCAACCCAGTCAACATCCATGATCATCAAGGGTCTAAGTGTTCCTGGACAGCAGTCAAATTCAGCGTTGGATTTGATAGAACGAATTAGACAGAGATGTGGGAAGACCATGGGTAGTGATCTTAATAAGCAAGTTGAAGGACAAGACAAGAAAGGAACTAAAAAGCATAGCAAAAGAGCTGAAAGTAAGCCCATTACTATAAAGCTCAAGAAAGATGATCTACTTCAACAGCTAACTGATTGTGAGGAGCAGGGAATAGATTCATAACTGATCTCACTTTTGTCTAGTTAGTATTAGAATGCGTTTCAGGATAGTCTAAAGTAGAATGCCTATTGAGATATTGAAGTTATATTTCCTTAGTAAAAAAAGCCTCATTGATCATACAGAGAAGGATACAGTACAAGGATTATGTTGACTTAGGAGACTGAACAACAATTCATTTTAAGACATGACGTTTTAAGGCAGTAGCATCTGCAGTTTGAACAAGTAACTTTATGTTATATCTCTCTTCGTAAGCAGATCCAACAAGTTTGGATTATATGAAGGCCATGACTGACTAATCAAGGCTGATCTAGAAGGGAAGGCCTGTAGAATGCATGGCTCTGTGCAATCTCAATCCTGTCTCTGGGATCATTTAGTGTTTCATCTCTTAACGCTTGCAGAATCGCTTGTGTTGATTGTTCTCTGCATTATCCAGACACAAAAATTGAGCAAACATAATTCATTAAAGAATTCAAGAAGAGCAAGTAACAAAAGAGATTCAATGTCCTTACCTTGTGATGAGTATCTTGTAGAGTGTTTTCAAAATAGGACATGATTCAACCGGCGCTACAGGTTTCTTCTCTTCTGAGTGTAATATGCTTAGGCTAGACTGACTAAGCAATTGATAAAACGCTCCCACTGCAGAAACACCCTATTCAAAATAAAACCAAACATTCATTCACATAAGCATCGATAGACACCAAACTTCTTTGTTCTCATTTAGGATTAAAGATACCTGAATCATTCCCTTCCCACTTATACTATCACCCATGTCTCTATTTATCTCCCCTTTGGCAAGCATCTGACCATACCAAGCATTACGCCCTTTTAACAAGGTCACATAAGTATCAGCTAGCAATGGCCCTGCAAGCTTCTCAGGCTCTTCTGCTAGTAAATGAGTTATGAATATCATCTCAGATGTACAATGAGCAAAGTACACAGACTTGCTTGTAGCGCTCTCGTTAGTAAGCGCTGCCACCATTCCTGAAAAAGAAAAGAACAAGACGAGAAGGATCAAAGCCAAGGTTAAATCACTTGAATCCTAGCTGTGTGCATGCAGAACCTTACCAGCTCCAATGGCGTACACATTCTTGAGACCTCCCATTACTTCATGTGTCACAAGATCACTATTGTCCCAAACAATGAAATGTGGTTGTCTTAAGAACTTTGCTAGTGGTTTCCTCCATTTCTCAGCTCCACAGATTCTAGCATTAGCATATTCCTTGTTGTATATCTCAGCAGCAATGTTTGGTCCACCAAGATACAGTACATTCTCAATAGGCACACCAGCTATATCCACAAAACACCAAAGATAAGAAGCTTAGGAATATGTCAATAGACTCAATGGTACAAAGAGGAAGGAGAAGCTTACTTGCTTGATGGATCATCTTTGTTGGAGTAATGATATGTGGTACTGGCTCAAGAGCAGTTTCAATACCCTTTGACAATGATATAATAATAGGAACAGTGATTCTCTCTTTCCAATACTTACTAATCTCTTCAAACACTTGTCTTGTCTCCGTTGAAGGCAACCCATTAACAACAATATCAGCATCCCACACAGCTTCTTGCAGGTTTGTCACAACCTTGAGAGGACAAAGCGGCGTGTCAACCATGTTAAGACAAAACCCATCTTTCAATATCTCATCTGCATAGAGCGTCCTATCACCAAGCCTTGCCTCAACGTATTTCAGATAAGCGCAGCGTCTTATCAGTCTCCTCAGGACATCTTCCCGAGAATTGATCACTTCAAACAAATGTTTAGCTGTTGATCTATTAACAGCTCTACCAGGTCTTCTCCAAATCCTGATCTGAAACTTCTCCCTGAAACCTCCGTAGCTTTCTTGGAGAAGAGCTGCAAACACACTTCCCCAAGCACCAGCTCCAACGCTTACAATCCTTAACGGATCTTTGTCTGATTTCCCAAGAAGACGGCGAAACTCATCAAGCTTCTCCTCTAAGTTGAGACCGTTGTGTTGAACAGACCCGTTTGAGAGTAGGCTCTTTGCCTCAATGCTTCCCACCATTTTTCTTTATTCCACACCAAACTAATGGCAACCCCAACGAGCAATGACTATCTCAGCTTTTGTATATTGAGTTCAATCAGGAATACAAAGAAATCAAGTGGCATTACCTGTGGTCAGCTTCTTGCTCCAAAGGTATAAGACTTTCTTAGGTTCTCTAACTCAGCTTTTCTCACCAAACAGGACTTGAGTTTTGTCTTTTATGTGTTCTTAAGCTTTCTTCTGCAATATAACAAAAGGGTAAATCAAAAACCAGATATTAATGCAATGAATACCTCATAAACATTTAAATAGTAATGCTAAAAGCCTACAACCTGAGGAAACTGCAGAGAAAAGAAAACGAAACAAATCAAAAGAGAAATAAAGATTATGGAATAAAATAAAAATATAAAGACAAAACTTTGTTAGCTCCGTCTTTTGAGTTGTTCATCTAACTCAATGAGAAAGTTGGGTAAACAAAACACAAAGTCAAGAAGAACAAACCTTTCGTGTCGGCAACCATAAAAGAAAGAAACAAATGCAAAATCAAGAAAGACTAAAACGCATGAGAAGATTTATCTACTGACAAAAAAATCATAGAACTTGCATGAGGAAAGGAAAGTAATGAGTTAGAATTAATACTACAGAACAGAGTAAGCTTTTGTGCAAGGGAGATGAATGGGCATACAGCATTGATTGGTACAGACAGATACAGTTGAGGAAAGGAAGAGACTTTTTTTTAAATTGTTGTTTTTGTTATGGGTGTATTTAAGGGAAGGTGCCTAACTTCGGACACAGTCTTTAATGGCACAAAATAAACACAGCATTTACTGTACACCCATTTTTTAATAATATAAATTGTTTTAGTGGTATTTTTTAAAAAAAAATAGAGAATTTGCACTCTACACACAAGATTTATACAATAATTAGGTTAATGCATTATTTACCTTTTCGATGCAGTCAGAAGGGAAGTGGATTACCATTTTAATCTTGTTCACATCTGACTATCAGCAACCGGCTACCTGTTATTGCTGTAATCTTTTCTTTTTTCTTTTAGTATTTTATGTCTAATATTATATGTCGGCCAAAAGAAGATTAGTAATTTACTTTCTCCAAATTCAATCCTCTAACATAAATCTACGAAGCAACCCTAGAGCTTTTGGGTTACCAGAGCCCCAATCTTCTAGCTTCGATCCGATCTGACCAATTTAGGGTATTTGAAGTTTCAGAGAAAATATTTAATCTTTTGAGATTCGAAATCTGAGAAGAATGGCGCGATCAGGAGGTGGAGGAGGAGGATGGCGTGATTCTTGTAGAGGAATTTCATATGATAACATCAAG